GACTAGAAGATCATAATGGTCCTTTCTGACCTTAAAGTCTATGAGTCGTGACACTTTAATTTCACAGTAAGTAAGGTTTACTTGAGACCTGGCACTGCTGCCACCAGGGCTTGGAAAATTCCCTTGCATATGGTGAGTAGGATGCTTTCCCAGCTAAGTTTCATTAGCTTCAGCAAAATCTAAACTCTCATGAGTTTCAGTTTTTAAAAAAAGGAAGTTTCTAGCCCCTTATAGTTGCAAAGAAAACCTTCCAAACACAAACAGAATGTCATCAACATGGGTGTCCTTCAGAATCTGCAAACAGTGTGTTCCAATGCCTTTACAGTACTGTAGCTCTGAGGTCTCCCAAACTGTAGCAGAGTGTAAACTGAACAGATGGTGGGTTTTCACAACTGTTATTGGGAACGCAATGAGCATCAATGAAACTGACCAGAATCAGGTCAGTTTCATTCTGCAGAACCTTAAGAATCTTACAAGAAGCATCACTGGGAAGGATCCCCCAACAATATAGGTTAGGGACAGATAAAGTAGTGGAAACTCCCCCGCAACCTCCTATTGCAGCAGCCAGGACACTAGAGCGGGAGGAGGAAAGAGAGAGAGAGATTATTGTAGGGACCAGAACAATAGACTGGCTTGACTTCTGGCAAAGCTGAGAAAAGTAGAGAATAGCCAGACAGTTCTTCAAGACCACTGAGTGGGCTAGAGGAGGCACAAAAGACAGTACTTATCAGTCTAAAGTATATGTATTCTGCAATGTAACTGCTATGAAATGTGTTTATGATTTTTATAGTTCTGATTTTGAAGCGGACCTGCAAGAAGTAGTGAAGGAAGGAAGGTGGGAGAAGAGTAGAGACACATTCCCTTTTTGGCCTCCATATGTATAAAGGAAGCCTGAATTTAGTAGATTTAAAAACAAAGAAGTCAGGTCTTATCTATACATCATGAAGAAACAAAAAACGATATCGTCAGAAGCATATTTTTTCCTTTTGTTTACAGGCCACATTCACACTGATGTTTATTGGGAGATTGCTCACATACATGTTACCAATAAATAATGCATACATCCCAACAAATATAAGCTTATCCCTCTTAACTCCCAGAAATTGTTTCCTACAGCTCTTTTTCGCCGGAAATCTGCACTTGTCAATTCTGACTGCTCATTTTAATAAAAAATATGAAACTGTATATTGGCCTGACGGATGGGGGGTTACATAATCTTAAGGGTACACAACTGTTAGATAAATACTTTATGATCCTGAATTATGACAGGAATTTTTATTAAAAATCATTTTTTGATGTAGCTTCTTTGCTAGGGCAGTTTTAGTAATTCAGGATAGCAGTAGCAAGTTGCCAGATGGTACGCCTACAGAACTATCTTTAATTTCTTCCTTGGAGATGCAGACTATGATTTCTGAAACTCTGCTGTAATTTCTTTTTGAAAGGAATCTGTCAAACTTTTTTATTTTTTACCCAGCTTTTGATAGCATGACCTGTTAAAGAGTATATTCTGTATCTCTTTTTTTGTTCCCCTACAAGGATCTTTTCAACCCTGGAAATACTGATTATACAGAGAAAACAGTGAAAGTGACAACATGCAACACTGCTGTCAAATACAATCAGTAAATAAAACATATTTTTTAAATTCATTAACTTCTCTCAATGATAACATTAGATATTATTTTTGGTAATAGTAGGTACACTTTTATTTTAAAAGAAATGCTATTTTCCAGTTGAAAATGTCACGTTGAATTCTTCCTACATAGCTAGATAAGAGTGAGCCAAATTCACTCCATGCTGACCACTCACTGACCCTATCAAAATAATGGAATAATCATGGGTCTGATAAATGGAAATTGAGAATATTCCTCACATTACAGGAGGCGCTCAGTACCCAGCATGACTGCTGTGTTTTTTGGAAACCCAGTTGACAAAGAGAACGTGGGATTTTATCTTGTTCTTCAGTGGCAAATTGGAGAATTACAGCATTTACTGAAGATATAACCTGCACTTGTATAGAGGATTGGTACATCACCATATGGTACACCTAACAGAAGCATCTTTATAAAACCTTCATAATAAAACTGCACCAGATAAATATAAAAATGTGTAACCAGTTGGAAAATAAAAAGAGAGCACTGTATGATTGGACTGGAGAAAGGGGGGAAGGAGGGAAAAACACTGTTACCTGCAGCAGCAATTAAGCCTTCTCCTGAAGCTATGTCTAAAAAAGTGTGTTTATTTTGTAGCCTAAAAAGTGAGTGAGATATTGAATATGTAAACACGTTTGTGTGTTATATAAGATTTTGTTTTTGATGGGTGTAACCAGGATAATAAAAGATAATTCCGGGGGGTGGGGGGGTGGAGGGAGAGAAGAATTGAGGAGACATAACATTAACCTTTTTTAGGAAAATGCTTGAAATATCTAAAATGCTTGAAATATCTACTTGCCAATAGGAAGATGAAAGGTGGGGAAGAGAACAGGCGTAAATTTCTGCTCTATTTAAACTTTAAAAAAACATTTACGTTTCTAGACCTTAAGATTTGAAAGAAACTCTTTCAATTATAAGCAAATGCAGTGCTGTCCTCCTGAGTCTGCAGACAGCTCCAGTACCTTTGCTGCTGTTCCTAGCTTTGCTGAGCAGCAACAGAAACAGGCACTGAAGTTATTTGTACAGGAAGTTGACCCTGACCAATGGAGGCTAGGAGGAAATGGTAGAGTAGCAGAGACCTGTTTCACCCCATTCCAGAAGCCAGGAGGCTCTGGAAAAGGAGAAGAGACAGAAGTTTATCTTTCTCTTTCAGCAGCCAAAGAAGGTAGAGCTTCACATTTTACTGACACCAATTAGCCAGGGGCCATGGATTATGAAATCAACGCCCCCCACAACACACACCAGTATCCAAGGACAGCATTCTGGTGTTACCCTCCCTCATTCCCAGCAGCTTGGGATGGTGGAGGAGGGGCACAGCTAAGCTTCTAACCAGGACAGTGCGCCAGCCACCCAATAATCTTTTGTATCTACCTCTGACTAGCAAGCTTGGTCATTCAGCTGGTAGATATCTACCAATTCTAGCCTGGACTAAGATACTGCATCTGCAATTTCAGGTGAATTGGGTTGGTGTTGGCAAACTTAACCAATATAATGACTAGATTTATAAAAGGAAGCTAGTATCAATCTTAATTAGAGAGAGAATAGTGTCTCTCCATGATGAGAGTCACTACTACTCCAGTTCCCAAGAGGAAAGTATCTCCTCCCATGCTTTTTAGAATTAGGCCAACCATATGGCATCTAACAGTTATCAATATAAGCCTTCACCAACTTTCAGATACCATGCCACTGGTCCAGCAAAGACTTATGTATGTGCTTAATTTTAAGCACCAGTAGGTTTTGTAAATTGGGGCCTAAATGGAGTTTAACTATTAAATGGTATCTTTTTCAGCTGTGTAATTCCACCCCCTCCTCCTTCTTTGGAGTGCATCTCAGTTTAGTTAATAGGTCACTGAACTGGTTTACATTAATTGTCTTAAGTACCTTCTTTCCACTCCCAAGGGGAGAAACAAGGATCATTCAGTTCCACTCTAGTCTATGAAGCTGAATAGCAAGAACATAAGTATTACATGTGTCTGATTTGTCACTAATTCCTATAGGATCTTTGTATCCTTGCAGTAAACAATTGCCTTCTCATTATTATCTATCCAATCAGCACCTTCTTACCTACTTGGCTTGCTATGTTTATAGCAGATGAAAGGTAGTAATCTGCACAAGGAGTATCTGAATCCTTAATTAACTTTTAATTTATAATGTTTTATAAGGCTGAATAGACTACATTAACACATCAGCCAAAATACCTCATGGTAAAAGGTTTTTGCTGCACATATTTTTATTTAGTTTGAAAAGAAAAAGTCTAACTTAGTACCTTCATAGTGTTTCCCTCTACAGATTTTTTTTCCCCCTCTACAAATTTTTTTTTTTTTTTTACGAACATTGGCCTATTTCCGTACCAAATATTACCAGTTGAGCAAATTCAGAATAGTCTTTGCACAGTAACATTTGAGAAAGTCTCACTTCTCTATATTAACGGAGTGCAGTGATTTATTTCCTGTATTTTTTCCCTTTAAACCTCTCCCTCCCTTTTCGTTTTTTTATTTTATTTTATTATTTACAGGCTTGAGGAACGAAATATGCCAACATGTTTCCCTCTATGAAAACAAACTGTGCCCTCTGCATGCCCGAGAGATATTTACAACGCTGTCTGGTGGTCCCAGTCCTGTGTAATCATGACCTTCTAATTTTAGAAATCTACCCTTTAAAAAGAAAAAGTTAAACAAAACAAAACAAAAAACAGGACTCACAAGAACCATTCCTCCCCATTGCCCCAAACCCTAGGGTTGATGTTAAGATACATGTAACAGGAAGAATAGAACACCATGTTACACCAACACTTGCATGGCTGGTTCGGGGCCAGTATAGAAAGGAGGATGGGGATTTCTCAGGGTTATTGTCCAAGATGTCCATTTCTCTACAGCAACGGCTGTACTCACTGCTGGCCTTAGCCAAAACCAGAGAAATAAGCCGTGTGGGCTGGTGGCAGGGGCGATCGTGCTGTGCCTACTTTAATCGAGGGCAGCCCTGGCAGGGAGAGCGCCGCTCTCTTCAGCCGGGCACGGCTGTGGGGCGCCGGGCGAGAGCCGGGGAGCCAAGAGCCGGGCGAAGGGGGTGAGCAGAGCGCCTATGCTACGAGAGGGACCCGCTCATGGTGGCTGTGAGGAACCACTAGGGAGCCTCTGAGCGGCTTCCTAAGCCCAAGGCAGCAGCCCGGGGCCGGGTACCGCGCTGTACACAAGCCCTGGCTGGCTGCATGGGAGACAGGGAAGAAGGAAGGAAGATGGGAGGGGGGGGGCTCCAGGGCAAAGAAGCAGAGACGGGGTGCGGGGGGACCCCGACGCAAGGCCCGGCGGGGAGGGGGGCTGGCGGGGGCAGCACGAGCCCGGCGCTACTCACAACAAGAAGCTCATGGCGCAGGCGGCGGCGGCGCGGGACCAGCGAGTGGCTCCGCTCTCGGCTCCCAACGGCAGCGGCCGGCGCAGGGGGCGGGGAGAGCGCGGGCGGGGCGCGGAGAGCCGGGGCCTCCCTCCGCCGTGCGGGGCCGGGATCCCCGCAGCCAGTCCGCACGGCGGCTGCCCCGGCAGTGCCCTTGGGCTCCTCCATCCCCGCTGCTTCTGGCCACCCCATCTCTTCCCCACACACACCCCGACATTGCCCCCAGACACCCCCCACCACCCCCAGCATCCTTCACCACTGCCCCAAACACCCCCCCAGCATCCCTGCCACCCCCAAAACCACCTACCACTGCCCCCCACACACCCTGACATTGCCCCCAGCCACCCACCACCACCCCCAGCATCCTTCACCACTGCCCCAAACACCCCCCAAACACCACCCCCAGCATCCCTGCCACCCCCAAAACCACCTACCACTGCCCCCCACACACCCTGACATTGCCCCCAGACACCCCCACCGCCGTCCCAGCCGTTCCCCACCGCCCCCAGTATTCTCCACCACTGCCCCAAACACCCCCCCAAACACTGCCCCCAGCATCCCTGCCACCCCCAAAAACCACCTGCCACTGCCTCTCCCACACTCCCCCATCCCAACACTTCCCCCACTGCCCACCAAAACCACCTACTACTGCTTCCCCCAAACACCACATACCAGTGCCCCCTGGCACTAACCCTACCCCAACACCCCCTCCCCAAACACTGCCCACAGTGCCCCACTGCCTCCCCTATACACTGCACCCCCTCTCCAAACACCACCCATAGCACCCTACTTCCTCCCATCCAAACACTACACCCCATTTTTACAGCACCTCACTCACCTAACACTACTTCCTGCAACACCCTCTCCCCAATCAAGGCACCCCCCTACCAGCACTTCCTCCAAATACCTCCCACCTCTCCCCCTATTGCCTCCTTCCTAACCTCCAAGAATCCATCTGCAACAGGACAACTGTCTCCACCAAATCCCCAATAGCATTTCCCTCATAATAAACCTATCAGCATTCCAGACCTTCCCCCAAACCTTCATTAGTACTTGCCCCATCCAAAGCCCCTACCAGTATTTTCCTCATAACATACCCTCAACACCTCCCCATTAGCATTTCTCTAAACTGAAGACTCCCCCACTACACCCCATTCCCAACACCCACCATTCTGCACTAGCATCTCCCAGTAACAAGATTAGTACAGTGGACAAGGCACTGGACTGGGACTCTGAAAACCTGGGTCCATTTCCCAACTGACTCACAGATTTCATGTCTGTCCTTGGGTAAATCGCATAATCATTCTGTGCCTCAGTTTCCCATCTGCTGCAAAGACAATAGTTCCCTATTTCATGAGGGTGCTGTGAGGATAAAATCCATTAATTAGTATGATGCAACTCAGATATTTTGGTGAAAAAAGACATTTAAGTAGATAGCAAATCTATCCAAAGCCCCCAACATTCCCTAAGTCTCCCTCTCCCCACTTCTCCCAACAGCCCCACAAAACACCCAACTCATACCATTTTGTCATCATTCCCTTGCCTTCACTAAAGCCAAATGCCCCTTTACACACCAGCATGCCTCCTAACAGCAAAACCTTCCCAATTTACCCCATCTCAGGCCACCCCAACAGCAAGATCTCGCAAAAGCCCCTTCACCCAAACCTCCACCACTCAGTCCAGTCCACACTGCATACTCAGGACTGCCAACCTGTATGTATACTATTCATTACCTTAGGTGGTTCAGATAAACCACTGAAATTATCCTACCTCTGTTGTTTGTACCCCAAGTTCAGGCCCCTCTTTAAGGTATCTTTCATATAAGGATGCAGCACTTCCTGCTAAGACTACAGCTGCAGGAAACATTACTGTATGAGGAAAATATATGGCTTTAACTTACAAATTGTCACAGGACAAACATGCAACATAACATTATGCATTCTGCAGCCTATCGGCCCTGAGCCCTCCCTCTCTTCACCAAAAGGAATTTAATAACCCATTAACGTCCTATGAGTTAGGTTTGCAAGGAATATAATACTTTGCACTTCTATAGAACCATTTTTCCCCCACCCTGAAATATTTGCTTTAGTTCCACAGGAATTAATTCAGGGAACTTCTATGTCCTATATTGGAGGACATACTAGATGATTGCAGTGGTCCCTTTTGGCCTTATAATCATGAAACTATTAACCTTCCATTCAAGGAACTCAAAAAACATTATCCCGATTTTACAGGTGTGGAAACTGTGGCACACAGAGGTTTATTTGCCCACCAACAAACAGGAAATATGTGACTGTCAGAAATAGAACCCACAAGTGCTGGCTCTCACATTTCTACTCTAGTCACTTAACAATTCGGAGGAAAGAAATCAAGTGCTTTAAAAATATCAAGACAAGTAGGAACCCTAGTTTAGCATGTAATCTTTGTCCAACCAGGCTAAACCCAGCAGTCAGTTAGGGCCACACCTCTGAATTAAAGATCAGGGCAGTTACAATCCAATCCAGTTTGTGCAAACTGCTGCACTCAAACTTCTTGGAAATTGACAGCATTGCCCTTACCTGAGCCCCCGCCCTAGTAACTTTCCTTTTCCACAGGAAGGTGGAGGTATAATCTCTTCTCTCATTAACAGGAGTTCAGTGTGCAAAGTGCTAGAGATACATTTTGAAATAAAAATCAATGCAAATAATCGTAATATTTTGCTTGCAAGTTATACTTTGATTGAATAGTGGGGAGGCAGGTGTTCGCGGTCCAGGAACCCCAACCACGGCGGGCGTCCAGTGTTCAGGCAGATTGGGACCCTCTTCCTTTTCGCGCACCCGGATCCAGGGACCAATTGGGACTTCCCTCCTCGGGGCTGCCCAGGCGTGTGCCCGGCCCTTCATGCGTGGGGCCGTCTGACCGAGATCACCGCTGTGTGAGGTCGACCAGCTCCGGCAGACCACCCAGGGGTCCAAAAACCTAGGGAGCTGCAAGGCTCAGCAGGGCTAAACACAGTCACGAGAGCGATCAGGGGCGTGCTGCGGTCCCCCACCACACCCCACGGGCCCACACCACACACACCCTGCGGCGCAGGCGGTGGGAGGTGGGATGGCCGTCGGCGTTGGTGGGACCCTCATACCGCCCTCTCGCTGGAGCCCCAGTAACCCCTGCTGCCCTCCCTGTCTGGGTCGCTGACTTCTTCTCTAGGTTTTTTTCCCCCTTTTCTTTTATATGGGGGGGAGGGATAGCTCAGTGGTTTGAGCATTGGCCTGCTAAACCCAGGGTTGTGAATTCACTCCTTGAGGGGGCCATTTAGGGAACTGGGGTACAAATCTGTCTGGGGGTTGGATTAGATTAGATGATCTCCTGAGATCCCTTCCCATCCTGATATTCTATGATAAGGGACCCAACATCTGGGTGGAATTCAGGGTGCACAGCACCTCTCAAAAGGTGCTCAACAACTGATAAAATCAAAGTATTGGAGAATAGCTGCAGGCCACATTTCTGGGCTGTTTGGACTGTGCTTTGGGTGTCCCTACCTTACAAGACAACTCCTAGATCAAGCAAGAGACTCTTACTTTTCTTGGTCTCTCACCCAGTTGCTGCTTGTATTCTAGTCTAAACAAAATAAAAAGTGCAATCTAAAGATATAGGCTGTTGGTGAAACCTTAGTCAATGGCAAAACTCCTATGGCTTTAGAAGGCCCAGGATTTCACTCCTTTATTTAGTTGCTGGGTGCAAGCAAATGCCCGCTGCAGGATCCCTGAGTTCCACGTCAGTGGCTGTAGAGTCTGTCCATGTGGAACAACTTGTAGGATCAGGGCCATAGTTTGAGACAAACAAACAAAAATGCAGTTTAGCATTCAAATACACGAGAAAGGCAGGAGACCTTCAGGGTTGCTGTAAAGCAAGTTAGACTTTGCCAAAAGATGTTAGAACTTAACACAGAGTTTTAAAATGTTTATAGGATAAGTTCTAGGGTTTTTTTTTCAATAATTTGCCTTACAACTTTAAAAGTCTCCTGCTTTACTCATGCATTTAAAAGTTGAACAGCTTTTTCTGCGTTCCAAACTAAGTCAGAATGTCACGTTGGTGTCTCCCTGCTCTATTCATAATATATTTTAATACTCTGTATTCAAGACACTTTTTAAAAAAATGATTTATTGGGGAGAACTGGAGTGTAATTAGAATGCATTTAAGATGACATTGCACTTTTATCAATACATTTGTTAACAATCTGTATCTAGAGGGTATTTCTGCATTTGTTGGCCAGGTAGATCAGGCCCTATGCCAAAAAATATTGGGGGGGAAACGCAAATGCAGATCTATTCTGGTTTTGACCTGAATAATCCGCATTCCCTCCTCCCCCTCCTCCCACCCAAATGCACTCTTCTGCCTGCAGAATGTTGTATTTTAGTAGCAAGCTAAATTTCAAAGTCTTACTGCAGTATACTATAGGAGACGCTTTGCCTTGGTAACTGTCATGGGAGATTACATAACCTGTATACTTTATGCCTTGTAGCATTTTTCTATTCCTAAGGGCAGCAGAGTTGTTTATTCCAGACAGTGGGGATATGAGGAATCAGCAGCAGACTGCAGTGTTACATAAGCATAGAACTGCTCAGCTGAGCAAGTAAAGACATGTTGAATCTAACAGATAGGAGGAGACAGAGGGCCAGCACCAGCGCTAATAGGTTCTTGGCCTGCCACAACATCCACAACACCAACCTTAGTGCTTGGAGAATTAAGAGCCAGAAGGCCTTATGTTCCACTAAAAGTACTGCTCACAGGAACCTGATTGGAAGAGCTTTGGAGCCCCTGATTGGAGCGGGTACACTATTTAAGCCGGAAAGAGACAGAAAGTAATCCGTGCAACAAGATGGATCTTTGTTTCCTGCTACAACATACTGTGCTGTCAACTACTTGACTCCCAGCCTTGTCCCCGACTTCAGTCACGCCCTGCCCTGTTCCCTGATCCTTTTTGCTGAGTCCAACACTTGGTTTGACTCTC